GAGTGCAGCGGTGCCTTCCTCTGCCTCCGCAGCTGCAGCTGCGCTGGTTTTCTGCTGCCTGCGCTGCCCGGGCTGCTCTCGGCTGGCAGGGGGAAATTTGGGGGTTGGTGAATGGGGGACGGGGGGAGAGGGCTGGGGGTTCACTTTGGAGGGGTCTCGTAGCCTGTTCTTCCAGTAAAGTCACAAAAGAAGGAAAATCTGCTGCATCCCAGTGCTGGGCTCAGTGCTGGTGGCCCTGGGGGTGTTGCCAGCTCGTAGGTACCTGCTCTGCCTCGTGCAAGCGTCCCCTCCAGCAGCTCACGGCTTGCTGCTGGTACCTAATTTCCAGTGTCTCCCAAGGCACATTTTTTGTTTTATTCCATTTTCTCAACTTTTATCATCTCCACATGGGCTGAATTTCCACTTCAAACAATTCCAGGCAACCAAATTATTTATAGGGGTCTTCTCTTTCCAGAATCATCCCTCCAAGTACAATTCTTGAAGAGTCTTAAAATAGCCCTTCAGTAACTCCTGTTTTTCTTTTCTCAAGCCTCTGGAGAGAAGTCCCTGCGCTTCCGAGCTGGGTACAGCGATTGCTTAAGCCCTCTCTGATAACTGCCTTCCCTCTTCCCTCCCCTGGTCCCAGCCCAGCTGCCCGGCTGCAAACCACCCTCACCCACGAGGTTTCCTCCCCCCGTGCTGGATAAAGCTACGTGCTGCCTGCAAGCCCCTGCTCAGTGTTTGCAACCGCCTTTAAGGGCCGAGCAAGGCTCCTACCAGCAAGGAAACCCGAGCAGGACACCCAGCATCGCCCACTGAGCGTCCCCAGGCAGCTCGTAGCATCTGGAGGCCTTCAATTTCTGAATTTAGCCCGAGTTTTTAGTGGAGCGGTGGTTCCTTCGGCACGTGGAGCAGAGGAATCCTGGCAGAAAGGTCAGGGCTTTATGCTGGGCAAACATTATAAGAGCAGGCCAAGATGTTGTTAATAAATGCACATTTGCATTATGTTCATGCAAGACCTCCCACACTCCCCAGCTCTGCCAGACTTCCCCTGGCCACAGAGTGGGTCAGGCTGCATCGTTAGCCGGCTCGTTAGAGGGGTCGGGAGCCACAGGACAGGGGCGCTGGCTGGCGATGAGCAAGGCTGTGCAGATGTGAAGAAGGCTGGGGTCTTGCTGGTCTGTCTCCATCAGGGCCTGATTCTGCCCTTTTCCACCCCAGTACAAGGGGATGCTGCTCCGGGGCATCGCTGTAGCCGCCACCCGGCATCGCAGCCCCCCAGCAG